TTAAAAAAGGGTTCGGAATACGAATCATGTGATTTCTTTTGTATTAAATATTCCAATTGTACGAAAAATGAATACATAAAAAAAGAAAAGTCAATTAAAATTTAAATTAATATAATTATCTAGATAACAAGTTAATTATATTATTATTAAAATTAATTATTATAAAAATTATTAAGATCGCATGGCTCAGTGAGGCAAATCACCATCCAGAAGTAATGTCCATCCAGTAATCGTATGTTCCCGAGTTCAAATCCCGGGGGTGAAAAAAAAAAATTATACGTCATATACTAGTAAGAAATTCGGCAACTCCTAGACATATGTATTATAAAAATTATTAAGAAAATTAATTATATAATTAAATATAAATTAAATATATTATTTTTTAAATTAATTATTATTATAAAAATTAATTATTACTATAAGAATTATTATAAAATTGTTATATAAATTAAATATAATATACATTATTATATAGAATATAATTAAATATAAATTAATTATATTATTATTTAAATTAATTATTATTATAAAATTAAATATAATATATTTAAAAATAAATTAATTATATTACTATTAAAATTAATTATTATTATAAAAATTATTATAAAATTAAATATATAATATATCTAAATATAAATTAGTTATATTATTATTAAAATTAATTATTATTATAAAAATTAATTCATAGAATCAATTATCGAAAACTTGTATCAACAATTCTAACAACATTAAAAATATTACCAAAAATGTCTGAAATAAAAAAAAAAAAAATACAAAAATAATTGACAAATATAAAATAAAATAAATCAATGTTTCAACAATTTCAAATATTAATAATAATGTAAATAATTGATTGCATTGCAAAGGATGCACCAATCAATGAAAAATTGTATAAAAAGAGGTTAGAAATACGAATACAAAATTTGTTCGATGAATATTAGAATGCGACACGTTAAAAAAATGGATGCGTAGAGCATCGAAAAAAGATAAACAAAAATAAAAATAAATAAATGAAAGAAAGGAAGGAGAATAAAAAAATAGGAGCGGCCCGAGAACTTGAAGAAGAATCCATCGTGGTGGAACGATTTAATAATTATTATTCTCGTCTGCTAGCAGACGGCAGTCTTCTCGTCATTAAAAACACGTTCGCGAAGTTAACGGATTGGCCAGCAACCAGCGTGAAATGCCATTTTCACGCGTAAGACGGGCGTGTCTTTTTGAACATCACGTATTTTTATTTATTTATATATATATTAGAATGTATGTGTGTGTGCTTTGGTCATTCAGTGCTGTGGTTTTGTTACAAAATGTTGATTTAATATAATTCTCAACTATTTTTAGTCAATTATAACAACCACAATTATTAAGTTATTAACTAAGAAATGTTTGATTACTCGGATTATTTTCATCTCAAAATCAGACATTTCATATTTAATGACCTAATACAATAGATAAAATTCATAAAAATAAGGTTATGTTGCATGTAAATTGAAATAATTTAACACTAGATATATCAGACCAGTCATTTTGACTGGTCAAGCCATTTTAATTCAAAATTTCTGTAAATAATTAAACGTTTTGTTATTTAAAAGTGTCTATAAATTCATTTATCTATTAAAATTATTATTGTTAAAGATTTTTTGTTATTTTTTTCAGAGTAAATAAAGACTGGAAGCTTCAAAAAGCATTTTATACAGCAGTCATTTTGACTAGTATGGTAAAAATAGGTATACTGAAAATGGTGGTATATCTAGTGTTAATTATAATACAGTGCCATCTATTGAACATTGATTTAATATTATTCTAAATTATTTATTGCAGTCCAATTAATATTCACTAATAATTTCTGTAATCACAAATAATAACTAAATCAAAGTAAGGTTATGTTTCATGTAAATTGAAGTAATTGAATTGAAAAACAGCACCATTTATTAAAATTAAAGTACCTAGAGATTTAGATAACCTCTAAATAATAAATAAACTTAAATTAGCAATAAAAAATAAGAAATAATGACGATAAAAACTATCCTGTGTACTAAGTTGAAAAGAATCACACAAAATAAAAGAAAATTCTCTAAAGATCGGTTTTTACTAAAAGAAATAATAATTTGAGCAAACAAATTTGATCAAGTCTTAAATATAAAACAAATAATATCGAGTAAATCAAATGATGATGGTGGTGGTAATGCTGATGATGATGATGATGATGATGATTAATGTACAAATTATTTATATTATTTTTATCTACAAAATAAAATGATAAGGAAAAGAATTCATTAATCGATTCTAAAGAAACAACGATGCTGATAAACGAACATAAATGATTTCAATGTGATTCTGGAATTTAAAAGTGTTTAACGGGTGTTCCAATAATTTTAATCAAATGATCGAAGTTTGTAATTTATTTCAATTAAATATTTGTAAGGTTTAATTATTTAATTAATTATTATTTTAATTATTAACTTAATAAATAAAAAAATTAATACATATAAATATTAAATAAATAAACAATTTAATAAATAAATAAATAAATAAGAATTAATTTAATAAATTATTATTTAATTAATAAATAAAAAAATAAATAAATATAAATATTAAATAAATAAACAATTTAATAAATAAATAAATAAAAATTAATTTAATAAAAGATTATTGAAATCAAGGGATTTTTTAACTAACAATTCATATTTTGGAATAAACAATGAATTATTAATAACAAAGGTGATTAGATTATTAATTAAAAATAAAAATTTGTTATTTAAAAATTTATTCGTTCGAACTTAAGGTTAGAAACTGAATTATTTAACTTAAAGTTAGAATACTTTACGATCTACCTAATAAATGTTTTGTTTCTCGATGATTTTGTGTACACCCGGTATAAATAAACGTAATGTATCGCAAAAACTTCGATCTTCGATAAATGAAGAAATATTTCTCGTACTCAAACGTCAATTAGATGAGTCAACTGCATTGACAAATCGTACGAATTGTTTTCACATGTGTGTGTGTGTGTGTGTATATATAACTCGCGATAAATTTTAATCGAATTCTAAAAAGCCCTTTAATACCTTATAAGATTATTTTCCTTATATTAATTTTTTTTTTTTTTCAAATCTAAATCGTATTACGATGTCATCGGTATCGTTCGTAAGTATAATAAAAGATAAGAAAGAAGACACGTTTGTACGCATATAAGTGCATTTGAAGAAATCAAAGAAAAATAACACACACACACACACACACACACATGAAAAAAAAAACAAACAAAATGGTGGACAAACAATAGCTAATATAAGATCAAAGATTATTACACGTTTGATTTTTATTGTCATTTATCCAAAAAATGTCATCTCTTGATCCTGATAACATTTCAAAAAAAATTTACGAGTGACGTGAGTACATATATAAGTGTGCGTATATATTTGTGTGTGTGTGTGTGCATGTATGTGTTTGTGTGTAAATTTTTCCAACATGGAAGATAATAATAATAAAAGAAACCTATCGTCATCATCGTGAAGATACTAATTGAATTAGAACGTATTTAGTGTGAAGCACAAAAAGCTTTGCGAATTTGGTTCAATACAAAGAATAATATATAAATAAAATATATATTATTTAATATTTTTAAAATAATATTAACAAAATATATATATTAATATAATACTTGTGTTGAAGTTAAACAATTGAACGATGTTATATTCAAGACATTTTTTTGTAATCGACAATATTAACAAAATTAAATAATAATTAATATTATATTATATTATATATTATATTAATTTACTATATTAATTTATTATAATATATATTATATTATATACTATATATTTTATTACATATTATAAATTATATTAAATATTATATTATATACTATATATTTTATTATATATTGTATTGTATATTATATTAATAATATTATATTAATTTACTATATTAATTTATTATAATATATATTATATATTA